TAATTCATATTCCTATTTCACATTAATACTTTGAGCATTACTTAAAGGATCAACTAGTTTTGTTTCATATATTAATTATTACTAGAAGCGATCGGTTAATACGCTTGTTATTAATTCGGTCCTTTCACGGTAGTAAACTTGGGTTGTTAATGCATGCGTCTCATGGTTAATAACCGAAGAGGAATTAATTATATTGATTAAACCGATAAACCATTTGTGTTGAGGTTATCAATCTCAATCGTTTTCATCTTGATTTTATTGCTACTATCGGGTTAATATACGGCGCGTGTTCTATATTGACTCGGTAGTAAGTTTTATTAATGAACGCGTCTCGTTATTAATAACTACTCTCGATGAATTGGATATACTCCTCAATTGAGTATTCGAGAAGAAGATAGTTAAAGATATAACCGGGATCGACGAACATTTCATTAAGTGGATAAAAGCAAATCAAACCAAAACCCCCCTTTTTTTGTTATTAGTAACAAAATTAATTAAACCAAATCTTCGTTTTTAAATTAATTACACCAAATCAAACCAAAATCCCCTTTTTTTTGTTATTAGTTCTAGAAAAAGAAAAGTATTTCTTTCCCTGTAGATACGAACCTTACTATACTATACTATACTACTTATCAAATCAGTTGCTAACTTAAATCCGCACTTGGATTTGAACTTGGAAGCCGATTTTGCCCGAACACTGTGTTGAGTATCACGATAGCACTGTTTATTTTTTTTCCTGCTTTTGTTGAAGTTATGGCTATCTGGAAACAACGCGTGGTCTCTTGATGAGTTTAAGATGATTGGAAGTCAGGTGACTTAAAATCATAGGTTCGGCTTTCATTAGTGACTCTTGCTTCTGCTACAATAGGAGCGTTCGTATTGTGGGATGGTAAGGAAAAAGCAAGAATGTGGAGAATCTTCCAGGGTGAGGTCAACCCGGTCTTCTTCCAGGTTCTCTGTGGTGGAGGTTACGGATGAGGAGTTTCCATCCCATCCCTGCAAGTAGCCAGTTTGCTTGCACCAGCTAATGTGAATAAGGCTGACATTGGTAGAGTTGCTGGAAAAAATTCTGGACAGAGGGTTGTGGCTGCTGCTGTACACTCCCAGGGAGTTGTGGAGAATGCTTCTGCAGGTATGAGTCTAGAGATCACAAAGAAAAAGCAACAGGTGCAGCCAGATGCTGCCAGTTTGGTGATAATCCAAGCTGTTATGGTTTCTGCCCGTAATGCAGCTGAACAGATTACTATAACAAAGCCTAAAGGTGCTGATTCAGAAATGAAACCATGGAACACTCTGTTTAAGGACAACCGAGCTCCTACGCACGGCCTTAAACTGAAATATGTTCCGCCCAAAGAAAAGGGACTGGACTTTGCTGATAGGATCTTTCCCACTATGGTTAAGATGTGGGGTTACTCTCTCGTTATGTGTTTCACTGGTAGATTCCCCGGATTGAAAGCGGTTCACGAGTTGAGAGAGGAATGGGATGTGAAATGCCAAGTTAGGTCCCATAATAGGGGTTGAGTCATTTTCAAGTTTCAAAGTGAATGTGATAGAACTAAAGTGTTGAATGGAGGCCCGTACTCCAAATTTGGGAAATTGTTGATGCTTAAACCACTGTTCGAGGACTTTTCTTTTGTTGATGAAGAATTTTTAAAGGTGCCTATTTGGGTTAAATTCCCCAATCTACCTTTAAAGCTTTGGAATGATGAGGCGATGAGTGAAGTGGCGTCTATGGTTGGTGTCCCACTAACCACAGACAAGGTCACCCAAGAGAAGAGCAACCACCACTTCGCTAGAGTGCTTATTGAAGTGGATGTTTCCAAGCCACCTCAATTATCATTTCCCATACGACTACCTTCCCGTAAGGTATTGAAACAACATGTGGTGTACGAAACATTTCCTAATTTTTGTTTTCATTGCAAAGAGTATGGGCACCATCCTTTTATTTGTAAAGTTTTGGCCGAGAAGGAGATTACACCTGAACTTTCCAAAGTTGATGCAAAGACATTAGGAGTAGGTGCACTGGAGAATGCAACTCTCAAGGACGATGTGCTTGTGCCTAGCTTAACCAGTGAACTTTCCGTTGAAGAATTAATGATGATATGCAGACTAGCGACATGCCAAATGAACCTGTGGAACTTAGTGTCACAGTAGGTTTGGAACCTGCTGACACAGCCTCTTTGGAACCTATTGCCACGCCCCTTTTGGAGCTTGCTGCCACGCCCTCTTTGGAGCCTGCTGCCACGTTTGTTACAGCCGAGGAGGAGTTGATTGTGCCGGAGCCTACTGTGCCGGTAATGGTTCTGCATGCTCCAACCACACTGGTTGGGGTTGAGGAAAGTGATAGCTCAGGATACGATTCGTATGAGACTGAAGAGGAACCGGATCAGGAACATCATGGCAACAAAATCACTAAAAAAATTGAGGAGGAGAAAGGGTGAGACAAATGAGAAGTATAAAAGACGGCTTGGAAGAATGATTGGAATGAAGGTAAAATAATCTTGTGGTAGCTACTGCTCTTAAATGAGTGGGTTCTAGCACTAGAAGGAAGTTATTTCTTGGATGGGGAAGCTACGGCTTCCTTTGATGGGCTGGACTTTTAAATAATTAGCTTTATTTAATTAGTGATTTTGTGAAGTGGGGACTGTCCCATTATTTTGATGCATTATATCTAGGTTAGTTTACTCTAGCTTAGATAATCATTTTGATTTGGACTTGATGCATTGTAAAATGCTATTTTTGGGTGGCTTATATATACTTACATTTCATCCAAAAAAAATTAATACATTTATTTTATTGATAAAAACTTTTAATTTTATTTATAATATATATATAACAAAAAATATAAATTAATAAAAAAAACAATAATAAAAATTGAATAAAAAAATAAAAATAAAATGCTTTATAATGTCATAAAAATAAAATAAAATACCTAAAAATTTGAAAAAAATATGTAGGTATACAAATGTCATTTTGCATAAAATGTCACATTCTACTGAATTTGATTTGAAGATAACATTTTTACTCTTTGAAATTATCCATCATTTTTTCAATATTGTTATCATGATCACTTTTTATTGCAAATTGGCTTATTTATTTCCCGGTGACCTGAGATGATAGTGCTAGAAGGTGGTTGAAGTGGTGGTTGAGGCTTGTAGATTTTTTATTTATTTATTTTCATTTTTTATTTGATTTTATTTTAATTTGTTTCATTATTACTCCGTATTATTTAAAAAATTCTAATATAGTACTACGTATTAAGCATGATAAGGGAAAGAATATAATACAAATAGTTAGTTTTAATCTGGAAATTTAAACTTTAGTGTCATTTTTACAAGCTTACTTTTATTCACTCTTACTTGAGAAATTTTAATTTGTCAAATTTATTTGAACAACATATACAATCTGTGGAAAGTTGGGGCATGGGAGCTTCCGATCTCGACCAATAATAATAGTATTAGTACATACATACGTGAGATATTATATTATAAATTTATAACTATTATTGTTTCAGAAAACAAAGCACTGATTAGGTGTTTCTATTATGATCTACCTATTGGCCGGTTCATCCATCCACACACAATTACACAATTACACATGTCATTTAGGAATTGGGAAGAGGGGTAGGTATGCTATTTTACCTAGGAAAGAGAAGTTTTGACGTATAGAATAACCTTATCCTTCACAAATAAAGAAAAATAAACTAATTTAACACAAATATTGATGTTAAATAATTAATTTCTATGCACACAAAAATATAATGGAAACAAACTCAATTATTGATTTCCCATCCTCTGTGCTCTGTTTGCCTCTTTGAAGAATTACAGGACGTATTCTCTGATGCGTAGCTATCCAAGCACACATGCATGTAGGGCAGTCGTCTGCTTCATAATAATCATTATAATATGCCTATAATGGAAAAAACGATCACAAAATGACCACTCGATATACTACCAACCAGAAAGCAAATCATAGTGGTTACATTATAATAGTCCGTAACATTCATATCTTCCAACTTTCCTTATTTGGATGTAACATTTATATCTTCCCATTTCTAAATTTTCCCATCATACCCTCAATAATTTAAAAAATAATACACTATTACACCTACTGTTTTTGGATTTATCCTTCATTCCATCACATTATTTCACTATCTTCCCATCATATCCTCAATAATTTATATCCTCTTTCACTATTCTTAATCTCACCCACTTTGGAAGTGAGAAGATATATGTGATATGGAGGGAGTATATCTACAATCTACAAATCTATAAAACTCTAATCATATAGTCCATATATACACACACAAATATTCTGGTTGGAATTTCCTGACCGGAGCGCCGTGCGGACACCACGTTTTGAGGTGGTTCCCGATGGTATATTCCATTAAAATTTTGTGTGCATGTTCCCCATTAAGTGTAGATCATGGATGTTTTTACTTGGATTGTTTTCAGTCTCAGACAAGACCAGATCAGACCATACCAGATTAGACTAGATAAGATCAGATCAGATCAGACTTGGATAGTTATAAATACACGACATTTATCAGATCAGACTAGACCAATTCAGATCAGATTAGGCCAGACCAGACCAGAAAATTTCAATCCAAATAAAAACATCCATGTATCCCACAAATTTCAGCTAAAAGTTTAATTATTACTAATATATATTAAAATACTTCCTCCGTTCTTAAATAAATGCAACAGTCAGCATTTCACACTTGTCGAGACACAACTTTAACCATTAATATATATAAATTTATATTAGTAAAAAAATTAAAAAAAATAGATATTGAAAATTTACAATGAGACAAGTTTAACAATATTTTTTTCATAAAAATATATTCATATATTAATAAATAAAACATCGTCAAAGTAGAACATGTGAATAATATAAAATTCCATATGTCGCATTTATTTAAGAAGAGGGGTAGTATTTTTTTACTATAAAGTCTATGAGGACTTGTGGTTGTGTACGGAGTATTTTTCTTTCGGTATATATTTGTCTTAAATTACTTGGGCTGTTAGCTAGCAAAGAGAGGAAAAAATGGAGACTGCTCCGGCTGCTTATCCCCTGAACGCCGTGAAGGTCTTGCGGGGGTCGCATGATTTTCAACCGTATATTTGCTCTCCTCTACGCCTTTGCCATCGCCGCCCTTCTCTACCGCCATGTACAGACCCTCCTCCGCTCCACCGCCTCTCCTTCTTTCTTCATCCACTTCTCCATGCTCGTCGCCGACGTAATCTTGGCCTTCATGTGGTCAACGGCTCAGTCGTACCGCATGCGCCAGGTGACCCGGACGGAGTTCCTGGGGAATCTTGAAAAGGCGGTGAGAGAGGAGGACTTTCCGGCGATGGATATTTTCATATGCACGGCGGACCCCTTCAAGGAGCCGCCCATGGACGTCGTTAACACGGCGCTGTCGGTCATGGCGTACGACTACCCGCCGGAGAAGATCTCGGTCTACGTGTCGGACGACGGCGGGTCGGAGCTGACGCTCTTTGCCTTCATGGAGGCGGCTAAGTTCGCGGCGCACTGGTTGCCGTTTTGCCGGGAGAATGGGGTGGTGGATCGGTGTCCGGCTGTGTTTTTCGAGTCAGCTTGTAATGGCCGCCGCCACACGAGCCTTGATAGTTCTCAAGATGATCTCAAGGTAAGTACAACTACCTAAGCTAGCTTAATTAGATGATTAAGAAGCCGTTTGGCAACATGTAATTTTTACTTTCGCGCGCTGACTTGTGTAATAAGCAGAAAAAGTAAGGTTGAAGTTACTTTTCTGACTGTTTTGGCTGAAGCTACGGTAGATAACCATTTTAGCTATTTTTACATATAATTTTTTCTTTATTTTATTAATAAAATATATTTTAAAAATAATTGTTTCTTAAATCAGCAGCATCAGCCAATACAGCCACTTCAGCCAAAACTTCAGAAATTTCAGCAGAATCAATCAACACAGTCGATTTTCGTGCTACAAACGGGCTCTAATTATTTAGACCAAAACTTTCTTGAATATGACACCCAAGTGATTTTTTTTATTAATGCCTTCCACCCACTATTCAAGTACTCTCTCCTTATATGATTAAAAAAAAGTACTCTCTCCTTATTTTATTCATACTCCGTATGTGTCAACATTTTTTTTAAAAGAAATAGAAATAATGGCCCTAAGGCATATTTAGCCCTCGCAATCCAAGGACTCGTTTCTCGCGTCTTAGTGTTGGTCCTGTTGGATAGGGTTTGGTCTCCCTGGCCCGTAGGATTTTCTTCTAGCCAATTTTGTGTGGCTCTTTAAACTTCAGCCAATTTTGTGTGGCTACATCTTTTGAAAACGAATTAAAGGTTCAAAAAACGATAATCATGTCTAAAAGTCTTCTAAAGATGATCTAGAGCAATGTTGTTTTATTCTTGCAATTGAGGAGGAGGTGGAAAGGTTAGTTTTTGGCAATCAACATGAGTAGAGGGCGGGCGGTGGTGGGCCGA